TCACATTTGGCGTAAAACTCCAAATTTCGACGTGAGCTGCAGGTCGCGCGCGTTTTTTTCGACGCGCAAGCCAAATAACGCGAGCTTTCGCTTTCACGTCACGTCAGAAATAACGTGCATCTTAACCTCTCTAATGTCAGGGACAATACTGCAGGCAAATCGTATAATTCTACGTCCAAATAATGTTGTCTAGCATGCACTCAACACTAACAGCAGAACATAAGGAGTGTGCCTTTTTTCGAATGATTATTGGAACACATTGGTGCATATGCTCTGTGCTCTGCATTGGTTGTTTCTCTTATGTCTGTATTCACCTGGTGAGAAGCCAGTGAAAGTATGTATGGAATGTTGATGGGCAATAGCCTGAAGTTAACGGTGTTGCTGAGTGCAATTGCCTTTCAGTTTTGTTCTTCGTCAGATTGTTAATTTTTTAATTTTTTTATTATTAGTTTTCAGTTTGAGCTGAGGAGGGGTTGGGCGGATGGACGGTGGAGTTGAATAGCTTGTGCAGCACGGCTTTGTGTTCTTCAGACATCTGTAGACCAAAACAAACCATTAATAAAAAAACTAAAATATGTATGTCTAGTGGAGCAACATTGCCATGATCATAAAGCATACCTTAGCAGACGTATACCGTATTTCCCCGATTATAAGTCGCACTCGATTATATAAGTCGCATCCCCGCTTTTCAGTTTGAGCATGTTGTTTCTATATTCACATAAGTAGGATGTCACATTCGATTGTAAGGCACATCCCCTTCTTTGTCCTTGAAGTTTAGTGTGAAATTTGCGACCTATATTCGGGGGAAAATACGGTATGGTGATGCTGAACCGTGAATATTTTTTATTTTTTTTTATGCTGAACGCTCTGTGGGATGGCCAACACACTCGTGTGCAGTAATCTCTGATAGAGCCCAGTGGTTGAACAGTGTAGATGCATGTCGAGTGCTGGCCTAACTGTTAGTTCTATGCCGACTGGTTAAGCTGACATATTGAAAGCTCTGTGCTGTTTTCTTGCCAATACAGAAGAATGCTTTCTTTGACACAAACCCGCTTGCTGGTAGTGACATGAGCAACGTCTCCTTGATTGAAACGTCCATGCGCCAGCAGATCAATTTCAACTGTACAAGTCTAAGCAAGGTACAGACAGACTGTGCCAGTAACAGTTATTACATGATTCTGCAGAGCAATGTCTCTATGCTTATTGTATTACAGACTGTACCAGTATTACATGACTCAGCAGAGCAATGTCGCTGTGCTAACCGTGTCGTGTCTATACCACTCACTCTTTGCTACAGTGAGAATCATCCATCGTGCATTGTAGCTAGTCAACGTTCGGATGCCTGTTTGCGTCGACCTGTGGTCATGCACGACCGTTACATAATTGACATTGACATTGTCTTCTACACACACTGCTCCTCTGCTCCTCTGTAGATACTTATTGCCTCGTGCCGAGTCAGCTCTGCTAACCGCCGCCGTGTCTTGCAGTGGCTGGCTGCGTGTCTCTATCTGAACAATGAACGCTCTAAGGTACGTCACTTGTCATCGCTAGTATATACCCGAACTGTATATGCAGTGCTGTATCCCAGTGCAGGTATGCAGTGTAACTCTGGTAGAACCTACCCTGGTACTACATACATTTGCTCAGTACAGGCACAGAGTCCCCATATTAATTGCTCAGTACAGGTACAGAGTCCCCATATTAATTGCTCAGTACAGGCACAGAGTCCCCATATTAATTGCTCAGTACAGGCACAGAGTCCCCCCATATTAATTACTCAGTACAGGCACAGAGTCCCCCTCCCCATATTAATTACTCAGTACAGGCACAGAGTCCCCATATTAAAGCGTATTTGGATAAGAAATGCCTCGGATACTAACTTCCCAAGTATCATCTCCTGTTCCTCATGTGAATATTGCTGAGCTCCGCAGAGAGGATTTTGATCCGTGCAAGGCATTGTGAGTGCTTTCCACTGTTATTGATTTCAATCTGCACTGACCCTTCACAGGGTACATTACATGTTCAAGCACAATGCCGCAGAAGCGAAGGGTGATGATAAAGGTCAGGAGGCAGTGAATGCCAGCAAATCAGAACCCAGACACCCCAATGCCGATACTACATATAGTAGAGTAGTAGAGGAGTGGAGACTGTACTAGTTTTGCAGTGGAGAAAGTGCAAGAGAATGGCAGTGCATGGAGAAAAATACACTGCATAAGTGGGAATGCATTGCATAAGTGAATGTTTACTTTTTTTTGTATTCTTTAATTCTCTTCTGGGTTTTTTCTAGATGTTCTTCAATCCGTTCAGTGTGGCAATTGCAAGCGATGGGTTCTTTCTCAATCTCAACTACACGCTACTGCTGATGTGTGCACCGTTTCTGTCCGTCACTAATAAGCGTCTTGCTATGATCGAAGCAGAATATGCCACGTTTAAGCCTGATGAATCGACCCCGCCCGATGACGTCACCAAATCCACTTGGCATCCGATGTTGTCTTTTCTT